ATTGCGAATGCAGTATTTGTTTTCTGTGGCTATGTTAACATCTGATGTGTCGACTTCGAATTGAATTGGCATGTGGTCAATGCTTTTTTCATTTGACAAGACTTTCAAATTGTTTATTCGATTTATAAGTTGACCTACGCAACTTTCATGTCAATATTATCTTCGTCATTTTCAGTAGAGAATGTGTATGGTTGCCCTGCTTGATTCATGATAAATAGATCATTTGCGCTTATGAAGTCTTCTTCCGCATTTGTTCTTTTTAAGTGCCAAGCTGCAGACTTGCTATTAACATCCCCTGTTAGGATAATAGGAGTGTTTCTGTATTCATTTTGCTACCTACTTTCTGTGCCTAATCACCTGAGGTAGGATTTATATTAATACAAATCCACATCCAACAATCAAACTCCAAATAGCCAAACTATAAGCATCTTCTCTACGAAGGCCTTCAGGCGGCTACAAATTGAGTATGCTCCTATTATAATATAAACGTTACCTTACCATAGGTCTTATTAACCAACCTGACTATGTAATCGAACAGACAATTAGTAAGTGGGGTTAAATAACAAGAAAAGTTCAATTTATATACCCAAGTTTTAATAATATAAATTATTGTGTTGACATAGGGGGTCAACTTCGTTCACACTTCGAAATATAACAGTATTTAACAACTAAATGCTTTAGTACATTAACGATTAGATTCCCCAACTATTAACAATAATCCAGTATCACTGGGAGTAATATTCACAACTAAACGCTATATTAGTCTTAAAAAAATATTTAAATGGGACTAGGGGGTAATCTTAAAATGTAACATATGATGTGTGTACTGCCTTTATCAAAATAAATAAATAACACTGATCTATTTACGGTCGCTAGGGGTAAAAACAAGTAAAACTTATTAAAAATATTAGTTACCCATAAGTAATATACCCCACGAAGAGCTCTTGGTGACGTTTTCGGGTTTATTAAAATGTACTATAATTATACACTCCGAAACCTCGTTACATTAGGTTTAGATAAAGTTATATACTAATAACCCCCCAATAAAATAGATTAAATAGTAATATAGTAATATAAAAATAAGTAAGCAAAAACTTGCGGTAAACCGTGACTTCTGTCCAGCTGGAAAAACTTTAGTAGACGGTTGATGTCCTACTATTTCTGCTTCGTTAACAGCATACAAATCAAACTGCCTGTCATAAAGGTTGCTAGCCTGTCACATGAATACTAGCTGGTCACAAGAATACTAGCTGGTCACAAGAAATTCTAGCCAGTCACAAGAAGTATAGGCCCGTCACAGGGAGTGTTGGCCCTTCACAAGGACTATTGGCCCGTACCAAGAACCCTAAAGAAAACGTGTAAAATAAAACACAGCAATAACTATTTATCCCTGGTTAATAAAGTTAAAATTAGATAACCAGGTACCTACAAAGCCTTCTCGTGAAGCGAGGTCTAGAAATAGGTAATAACTACTCAACATTTACTAGTTAAATTAAGTTCGGCTTATTAATTTATGTAGAATCTTCAGATTTACGAAGCAAAAAGATAGACGGCTCGTGAAGCGAGTTCTACCCAACAATTACATTTAATAGGCAAATTGCACCCTTAGACTTCAAAATACTACCCCTAACTAAAATAAAACTATATTTACCCCTTTAACAGCAGAAGGAGGAAGACGAACACCAAATCACCAATTTCGTGAACAGCTTATTCAGCCATTTGTGACAGGCTCCTGGTTCACCTACAGTGAATCAGCGAGTCTGTGGCGCTACGAATGTAATTCCCGAATAAGGGTTGCTCAGGCGCCAGTTTTGATATCGCAGTTTGCTCTGCGACCCTGTGGTACACCAGAGTGTACTCAAGGTGAACTCAGTGGAGGTAAAAATAATTCCAGGCGGTCACTGCTAGGTTGCCACTATAGTAGAATAAATAAAAATAAAACACTTATCTCCATTACACCTCGTACCCTACGGTACCCAGAAAGATAACGGTTAAGAACCAGCAATAAGAGAAACACAGGAACAGGGAATAAAATATATATTTACAAAAAAAAATACACCTGTAATTATATATGTACGGCTTCCTCCATTCGGAAAATCTATTATTTAAAAATAAATTATTAAAACTGAAAAGTATTTAAATATTGACGGATCCCTATATCCGGAAAATTAAATAAAAATGAATTATTAAAGTTGAAAATTATTTAAATATTGACGGATCCCTATATCCGGAAAATTTAATAAATAAATTATTAAAGTTGAAAATTATTTAAATATTGACGGATCTCTATATTCGGAAAATTTAATAAATAAATTATTAAAGTTGAAAATTATTTAAATATTGGCAGATTCCTATATTCGGGAAATTTAATAAAAATAAATTAATATTATTGAAAATTATTTAAATATTTACGGTTTATTAGCTTAGGAGGCTAATCGGACTGGGAATCGTGAAATGCCCAGTATACGGAAAATGTATGAAAATAAATTATTATTATTGAAAACAATTTAAATATGACGGTAATCAAATGCAAATAAAAAGTGAACTTAAAATTATCGGAGACCCCTGGTATCTTAATACCCAAGCGATGGAAACGCAAAATTCTCGCCTATTGATAAATAAGGTTTATTACACGGTGTTTTGGACGGTGACCACGACGGTCGTAGAAAATAATATTTTTGAATTTTGCCCAGAGTCTAACGAGAGCGTATGTGTGAATTTAATTTTACAGAACCCGTCTGACTTCATTCAATAACTAATCGTGGACAGGAGAAACGGAATGATTCAAATACAATTGATTGAATAAATAAAAGAAAATAAATTTTACACGAAGTGAGGCGCGGAAATTAGTTTAAACGTTGTTTTTTTTTCTTTTTGGGAAATTAGATACGTCGTCAGAAGAGAGCACTCTAGTCCGAGGATAGATCGAACCTCCAAAAAAAAAAAAAATAAAACAACAAATAAAAAAAATGAAACAGGTCGAACCTCTCACTTGGATGTTAACTGGGCGGTTTTTAAAGGAAATTGGATGTAGTCATTGACTGAGAGAGCACTCGGAGTCTAGTCTATATCCAACCTCAAATAAAAAATTGCCAACGGCTTCCCACTGAGGGATGAAATAATAAATCCTAGGTATGAATCAAAATTCTTGATTTGTGACACGGGTGTCCCAACTAATTATATGAAAGCCAATGTATAAAAAAATAATATACGGTTCCTACCTTAACAAATCCAACGGGTTAACGAATTATGTATTTAAGATCACGGCACTACACGGCGTCGTCACTATAATTTTTAGAAAGATCAGTACTTCTCGCGTATCGGGAGTCAAGAGGCGGCATTTTTAGCTTTCCATCAATTTATGCTTTTTCGGTAAAGAAAGATGGAAGACTCGTACGACAAAGTGGGGATACCACTACTACAACCGGCTGTTTACAATTTAAAGATAAAAAAATGCCCTTATAGTCCTTGACAAATAAAAGGTAGATAATCCATACGAAATCGACTCTAAAAATACCTATTCGGATTTCGGCAAATATAAGAATATTTTAATCTAATTGTTAAAAAACGGTAATTACTGGGAAACAGAAATACAGGGGAACTTCTACATGTTCTCAGGCGGAAATTAATTGAAATACACATTTTTAAGATGAATTAAAAATAAAATATGTGTGGGCTCCGAAATAGAAGACAAATAGCCTTACAAAAATAATTACTACGTCGTAATTTAAATGCTAAACAAAAAAAACTCACCTATGAGATTCAACACGTGGTTAAATATGTCCTCCTAAAAGAGCTCTTACAACAGGTGGTCACCAAAAATACAACCAAATCACACTGTTGTAACTTTAAACAAAAGGTTGTTTTGCAATATACCAATTATGAATTGAAACGAGTTCCAATAAATTTCGAATCTACCTTTCTATCCACGTGTCAAATGAATCTTCAAATTCCAAGAAGAGGGAAGCCCACGTCACCTCCAAAAACAATAATACCAACATACCTTAGTGACAAATAAATGTCCCCTCAGCGCCCTCTATTACGAAATAAATTCTTGACAGAAAGGGCCAAAATTACCAAACAAAGCCTTTAAAACGAAATAAATAGAGGTCCTATCTACCCCAAACTGATAATGTACCCACAATTAACGTCAGGGCGGAAACGCTAGACCGACATCTTGAATACAGGGCAGTTACCCACTCGCCCAGAGCGTCGCAGAAAAACCTACATCTATGGAAAAAGGCCCGCCAAGAAACGCCTTCGACACTCAGCTGATAGAAATCCAGTTGCATGTCGATTCAAAAGCACAGTGGTTTAAATGCGGGTATAGAAGGAGCCATTTAATAATTACTGAACACGGACAAAAACAAGCGTATTCCTATTTTAATGAAAAACCGCTATAAGGCCAAATCTAAACGTTACAATTTATTGCATTTTGTATGCTGTCTTTGTATTCTGCGAGGTCTTGATCCCACGGCATGTAAGCACTTATCAGGAGAAATTTAAGTGTTCCATATTGCAACATACACACCACCACATACACACCACCACATACACACCACCACATACACACCACCACATACACACCACCACATACCTGCTTGATAGTTGAGAATTGAAGGTTACATCATTAGCGATGCATATCGCAGCCAGAGGATTTTGTTCATTTTTATGCGCACACTTGAACGCTGCATACCCTGTTATTTTGAATCTGCCATCTCTGTGATAGGTATATGGCTCTTGCAAGCAGATTACGTCCGCAGACAGATTATCTGCAAGTGTTTTAGTTTTTTTATGGTTGCCAGCCTAGAATTGTGTGTTTGCCTGCACAATAGTTAACTTATTGTTTACCATAATCTATGTTAGAGATTAAATCTTGCGTCCTCTTCGCAAGCATTTGACACTTTGTTGATCTGGCTTCATGCTGAAAGTCTCGCATCTTGGCAGCTTGGCAATTTACACAAATGGGCATTCTTTCTTGGTTTTTACAATCTTTGGTTTCATGGACTTCGCCGCAGCGGCCACAGGCTGTGGTGTCCAAATTTTTGGGACTTATAGCATCTTAGTATTCTGATGTGGTCTCTAACTATGCAAGATGACCATCCTAAGTACACTCTATCTTTTTCAAGAAGTTTGTTCCTGATTTCTGGTATAACTTCAATTATCCAGTGGTTACAGTGTTTGTCTCTAGGACCAAACTTGTGCTTAACCGTTATGTCGCCATCATTTACATTTAATAGAGCGTCATAAAGTTCATCTCTGAGAGTGTCTTCTGTATAGTTATTTGGGACGCAGTTCTATTGGCACTGTGTAATGGTATTGCTTTAGTCTAGTTGATATTGGATCAGAAGGGCGTCATATTGATTGTGATATATTTAGGAACAGCTCTATAGGCCAAATGAGTTTGGACAATAAAATTTGTTACCCACGCGCGCAAAATTTTTCACAAATTAGTCGAGTTGGAAGCAATGTGTATGGGAAAAATGCGGATGATTTGAGAAATATGTTAACTTCTCATTTTTTGTTTGATGGTGCAGTTTTTTTTTCAGTGGGATAAATAATAAATTGTTGAACAATTTTTGAAATTGTAAACAAAAAATATATAATTAAAAAATGTTTTATTCAAAAAGCCAAAAATACATTATTAAATAAAATCCTTTGCGCCTTCATACACTTTACTCAGTAGTTGGATTTCCATTAAGGTCGTCTCCTTCAATGGCATCTTCATCAGTAGTTCCGATATTGTAATGTGCACCAGATTAATTGAAGAATGTGTAGCAGTTGAAGGCACCGTTACTGGAGCATTTACCCGATTTAATGACTCGATAATTGCTAACTCAACTTTTTCGTTTTTATCCGGTGTAGCACTTGTATTACCACTGCACAAAGGAAATATATTAAGCCAATCTGTAGCTTCCAATTATACATGAGGGATTCATTTTTGACTTTCGTCACTTTTGTGCGATACTTTATAGTATTACTCAAAAATGACATCAGATCATAAAAATCCCATTTCTTTTTCTTTTTTTTTTCTAACTCTTAGGGCATAACTTTCCAGTTCTCCCTTAACCCGGACATATATGTCTCTTAAATTTCTTAATTTCTTCATTAACACAACAATAAAGTACTTCTCTTGCCCTCTAAATGCTTCGTAAATTTCGAGCCACCGATTTTCCCTAATTGTTCTGTTTCTGTCTTTTAATGGCAAACGATAATCCCATAGTGGAGGTTTAGTCATCACTTGTCCAATTAGAAAAATTTTCAGGAACTTCTTCATTATCATTCTAAAAATAAAGTAGCATAAATTACAAAACTATAATACATGGGTTTATAAGATTCATAACTTTTTTATTGGTCTGCTATTTTACTTACTTGCGACTCCTCATCTTCACCATTATTTGTTCCTTCAAAATAATCATTCGTCCAACACAAATTCATTATCCATTTTTTCCAAAAATAAACAAAATTAACACAATATATTTCTCTAATAAGATTCTATTTCTTCCAACAAACACTAAAAAGAGCAAAATAAAGAAAATCTGAAAGTGCAAAAATTATGACTATTGACATGTTTTTACTGTCAATTGTCATCAAAGTTACTAGAAAATGTACGACTGGTATCACGGATTTCGGATATGTGAAGAATGGCAATTTTATTTCTCCGAAAAATAATACGATCCCGAATCGGATACCAGATCTATGGAAATGCAACTTTACGTCGAATAAGTCTAAAAATAAGTTACTTAGGGCCATCTATACTTTTTTAATAAACAGGTAGATCTGATTATCAAAATTTTATTGTTTAATTATTCTAATAGAAATTGTGAATTTAATATATCGTAAATCGCAACTCGACATCCGAAAGGTTAGAATTATCTGAAATAAGTTTTTAAATAATTTGAAAATTCGAAAAAAAAAAAACTTCAAAAATCCTCCTACGAATTATTAAGACCATCTCCGGACAAAGGAAATGGATGCGTCCAAATGGATTTTGGTCATATGTCACCATGAAGTTGTTAAATGAAAGAAAGGAGCAGTTTGTTTTGCTAAGTCTATGTACAGCTGGATGAATACCTAAGTTAAATTTGTAGATGAAATCATTAAGCACTACTCTATTTCTAGCGTATGCTGGCCCAACAACTGTAACACGTATTAACTGTTATTCTTATACTTTTATTTAACTGAACTTATCAAACATACAATTAATATATTTTTATTAACCTTCTTCACTACAACGTGGCTTGTCTGTTCTAACCTCACACTTCTCGCGCATGCACGTTGACCTGCCTTCCGTGTGTGATGGTGGTTGCATAGTTTAGGGGGCCCGCACAACAATATTTAAATTTGTGAATTCATAAAAGCGTAACAGTTCATCAACAATTGGTTGATAGCCACTAAAGCAGTCTGCATTTCCAATGAAGGTAATTATATGGTCTGAAGTCGTAAATTTTTTGCTTAACAATTTAACGGTGGTTACTATATCAGTTAAACACATATTTCTTCTGTACTGAAAGTTAATATCTAATTGGATTTAGAAAAAGTTTTGAAAAGTAACCCAGAGCCCTTAGCGCAATCTTGGTCGCCAACTACTAGAAGCTGAGGTTTTCTTTTGTAGGTTTCCGGGGTATTTGGTGGAAAAGAAAGTGAATCAGCGTTATCACTAAGTAAATAATAGATTCACTGGCGATAGTACGGGCTGTTGTTAGCGAACTACGATTTTGATTAAGTTCACTAAAAAGATTACAGTTTTCAGCTTCTAAAGTTTCAATTGAAGTTTTCATTTAATTTCTCATTGTTTTTAAACCTTCTAGTGCACTTTCCAGAAATTTTAATTTACATGACATTTCCGTAATTCCCATGTCTAGTTTATTGTTGGATTCTCTTAATTTTTTATTCTCGTCATTAAAATTTGATACTTGTCTCTCATTTTTATTAATTGTTTTTTTTTTACCTTTGTAGCAAGATCAATCCTTTCATCCTGGTTAACCCTTTCGCTGCTGAAAATTACCGAAGAGTTTCAGCAAATGCGGCACTATTTTTTATTCTAAAAATGAAATTGTATATGTGCAATGTATTTATTTAAATTCATCTTCAATGGTATTTTTATCAGTGTTTTTTTGTAAGGCGCTCATGTGCGGCCTCTGCATATTTTAATGAAAGTATAGAAATATGCGGAGAGCGCACTTTTATTTTATAAACTAAAAAATGTACATATCCAAATCTCATAAAGGAATTTACAAGAGGAAAACATTATGTCCTCTGATATTCTTGGAAGCATACTCCTAAGCAAAGTCCTGGTTTGTTTTTGCACGCTACACAATGACAAATAGTATCTGTTCGGTCTTTCTTTATGATACAAATTCGACATTTGTTCTTTAAAGTTTTGCACTTTTCATTAGTGATATCAGTTTTTGTGGGTATATGTTCTACATTTGGTATATGGTTTTGTAATGGGGTTGGTACTTCTGGTAATAGTTTTTCCAAGACTGCCAGTCTAAACTTCTGTGAATGCTAATGGCCATCTGCCGTTTTTTTACCGCTAAAAATATATTTGTTGCCTGTTTTTCCTTTCCACTCGTTAACTGAATATTATTTAAATTTGATTGGTTTGGTCGATATGCAACCCATTTTACGTTGATGTGTATTGTAAATAGTATACCCATTGTGTATATAAGCGCTGAAATGCATTGTGAATAGTATACCCGTTGTGCCTTTAATAATTATTTGCTGGGTTGAATCAGAGATGGGCGCTGTTTTTTATGTATAGAGGTGTTTGATGTCGTGAGTGTTCAAATGGTATTTGAACAATATCTTCTGGGGAATCCTTTCTATCTTTTCTCAGCGTACCGGTACAAAAAGTTTCTTGGCTAAGACTTAGCAAGATCAAAAGAGTTGTAAAAATTATCCATATAAAGTGAGTGTCCGGAGTGTAAGTAATTGCGCATCAGATGAAGGACTACTTTTTGAGTATGATCTTCCCCAAGGATATCATTTGCACCAGTATAAATTATATCTAAAACCGTACCATCCGACTCGATCAACATTTAAATTTTAATTTCATACTTGTGGCGCTTTTTCGGGAGGTAGTTTAAAAACAAGTCTACCCTTCCATAGCACCATCGATTCATCTAATGCTAAGTTCTAACCTGGGTAGTAAATATCTCTCATTTTTTGAGTGAAATAATCCAACACTGACCTCATTTTATACAGTCGATCCCTACCTTCCTGTTGTTGCATGTCTATATTTTCATTAAAATGTAAGCATCTTAAAATAAGTATCCCTACTCATATATTTTCCAAAACATGTCGAAAATAACCGGTGTGTTTTTCAGTAGTCCTGAATATTATTTAGTTTTATTGTTTCAGTATCTAGTGTTAGTCCCAAAAAAAGTACCTAATTTCCTTACCGTGATATCCTTCCATTCCGATATTCTTGACTTTCCTTTTCCACCGCTCGTAGACAGAACTTCCACAGCATATTGATTTGTTTCTCTCAGTATCAATTCACTTTGAGAATCGTTATCCTCAGAGTCATCTTCAATTACATCTAAAATATAACAATACCATTTAAATTAAAGCATATAACTTAATATTTTTGCAACTTACAAACGTCGTCAGTATTTTCATGGTAAACTTTCTCTATCTGAATCGTATAAAAACTCCATCATTTCTTCATCTGCAACAAGATCATCATGATGTTCCGTAGATAGCAAAATAACTGCTTTGCCTTTTTTTAGGGGTATAAGATACCATAGTATGGTCTTTCGTAAAAGCAAATATACTAGAATGTATGGTCCTAAATAATTTGGGTAACAACTCATTTGGGATGTCTGGCTTATTTTTTCGGAGTGTCCCACACAAGGTTAGTCCTTTGTCAGCATGTTTGTTTGCCAGTGATAAACTTGTGAAAAAATTATCTGTGGTTACTCCATATCCAGTGCCAAGGGGTTTTATAAGATCCAAGACCACTCTTTAACCCTGATTTTTCTCTGGTTGGTTATTTATTTTTCCAAGATAAACCTGTAAATTTATACTGTACGCAGTTTCACTATCAGCCATTGCCCAAATTTTTAAGCTATATTTATCGGGCTTACTTTTTATGTAAACACGAAAAGGGCATCTCCCCCTGAATGAAACAAGTTGCTCGTCTATAGTAACATGCGATCCAGGTGAATACGCTTTACTACAATTCTGAACAAAAATATCAAATATCTCTCTAATTGGTGCCAGTTTATCGCTCATTCTTCGCTGAGCTCTAGTAGAATAGTCGTCAAAACGAATAAATACTGTTAGCAACTGGAATCGATTACGTGACATACTTGCAGGAATAATAGGCCTAGCATATTTTTTATTGGTACACCATAACATTTTTTGGGGCTCCTTGGTTGCTTGAAGTGCTCCTTGGATGAGCAGGAGTCTTATGTACGCATGGATCTCCGTAGAATCGGTTGGCTGCCAAGTTCGTTGTGGTTTATGTGGATATTTTTCATTCCATTGTTTTATCACCTACAATAGAAGAACTCTTGCTTTTGTAACGGTGGAATACAGCAAACTACACAAACATTATAAACAAATGAAATAATGAACTTACCTCTTCAGCTTTTCTATTCGTTTGAATTACTATAATTTCCATCATATCGTTTGACAAAAACAGCAAAAATTATTCAATTTCAGTGGTAAAACTTGAACTATACGGGGTGAGACCTTGCTTATTTTTGATTATATTTTTAGTACCTCTGCGTGTCTGAGGATATGGTATTCTCGACCATTGTGTGCCATCTTGAGATTTATAAAATGGATTTCCGACACCTTCTTTCGGTACACTGTCGGTCCCGTCCTGCCCCACAGATGTTTCTTGACGAACTTCACTTTCGCATTGAATAAGATCAGAAACTTCCTCATTTATTTCTGGCTCCCTGTCACTCTCCTCATCTTCAGATAATATCAAGTCAAATTCTTCCATTTCGTCGTCGGACTTTGCATATAAGAGTCGTTCTAACTCCGCGTCATTGATACCTTTCGACATTTTTGATAAGTAAAAGTAACACATGCGACCGTTGGCGATGGTCAAACTGATGTGCGTATAACAAGTACACTATCGAGTCTATTTTTAGAAGCGGCGCGCGCCGTTTTAGAATTCCTTTACGTATAAATGATTGCCTAGGCCACTCCTCAATAGTGGACGCGGATTCCCACGTGGGGTACAAATATACCCCACGCTATTGAAATATTTTTATTCCAAAAACAAAGAAAGAAGAATCTTTTTTGACAAGCATTAATTATTTGCAAAGCTCTTATTGACACAAAATAAAATTGGTAACCAAAAATATGGACTGTCTAAGAAAATATGCAGGAAAAACAATTTATGGGGTACATTTGTACCCCA